AAAAATAAATGAATAATAATAATAAATAACCACAAAAAACATTTACCACGGCTATAACCTCTATTGGACCCATTATTGTTGAAAGCTTGAACTAAATTTGGAAAACTGAAGCTTAACTTGAGACTGAAGAAACTGAAACTAATATTATTTAGTTTTTGGGTATGTATGTATGTGTATATGCAAATATATATATATATAAGACTTCTTTTATTCTCTGAATTCTTTATGGGAAGTAAAAGTACGATGGTGGCATGGCATCTGTCGTGGAATCTCATAGAAAGTACTTAGAGTAGACTCCGCTTTAGCGTCTGTACGTTTATAGCGACGAAAGTTCTGGTCCCTGGGCAAATTTTTATGAGCTAGCTTTTATGATTATAGCCTGATGGTCGTTGTAATCGGATTCGACTGTACATATACATATATATATGCTTGATCAGAAAGAGGAGCTAAGTCAATTTCTGTCCGTTTATTGATATGATATTTGTTTGTTGGATCGAGATCGAGGTTCAAATAATCAATAGCTATTCGCGTTTGTTTTGATAAGAATACAATTATATATCATAATCTTCTTATATTATATATCATAATCTTCTAAGTCTTTGGAGCTATAGCTTTTAACTTTTGCAATAGTTCCATGTATATTCTATACAATTTTATCAACTTCTTCAAATCGAAGTACAATTGCCATAATAGACAACTTGTGGAAAGTGTTTGCAGTTTTAGTTAATGTATAAATATGCTATAGAATATGTAGATTATACGCTGAAAATTGCATTGAAATCCATTAAGTAATACAGAAGTTACTGAACAAGACACGTGGCCTGCTGCGCCCAGCTTTCGCATTATTCCTAAACATGTGCACACATATGTATATCTTTATAAGTATATTGAAGAATGCACTATTTGATTCTGAAAGCTCAAACATTTTTTAATATATACCTTTCCAATACTAGAGACTTGTGCATCAGCAAATACCCTTAGCTAAGAGACATTATCACGTTTAGGAGACTTAATTAAGAAAGTCCGTCTACAAATGTTGAGGGCTTGGCCTAGTAGATCAGCCTCTGCTCGAATTTACCAAGTGTTGGGCATCGGCAGCTCAGTTTAGTAGGCACTGTTATTATTGGTCTATTTAAATCCAAATTAAGCAGTTAAATAGTCAGTGTCGTAGACCTACTGACATAAAATAGAATATAATATATATTTTGATATATCCTGATATAATAATATATTA